TGATGAGGTAAATTAGAAAAATCTTCAGTATTAATTTTCTCTACAGATTGACTTAGGTAAGCTATATCCTGATTGCTGATATAAAGAAATTTCTCTAGTCTTTACAACTCGAGCGAGTATTACGCAGTCAGTTACAAGCAATTGCAATATTCCTTTCTCAACATTTGTTCAGCTTTACTGCAATTACTTAATCAACATTCAAGGGGTGAGCACATAGCGCATTCACGCCTGCGCAGTGGAGCAAACTGCCCTCTCCTCCCTCCACCCATTGTTGGCGCTCAATGAATTACTTAACAGCTGCTCGTCAAGGTGGGCAGTTTCTGTGGGGTAGGCAAACGACTTGAGCGAGTCGCAAATTGAATTGTTATGCATTTCAAATTAAAGATGAAAAGCTCGTGAAAATTGTACAAAATGTTGAAAGTGATCAAATTAAATAAAAGTCAATTTATGGTCGAGCAAACAGGCGAGCCGAGCAGCGTCTTGCTGTGGTCTTGTTGTTTTAAGTCTTTCCATTTGAGGCCAAAGGACCACCAGGATAATGCGCTCAAAAGGCAGATAAGATGAAGGCACTTAAATTTAGTTGTTCTCTTTGTTGTTTGATGGGGGGCAGCATTCCAGCCAATGTATTTGTTATTTTTTTCTATCTCTGTAGATATTTTTTTCCCGTCTTTTTTATTGTTAGCGCGCGCGCTGCGAACAAAAGCTAAAATTGAAAATTGTTAAAATATACGCCACATTCACACAGATACTTTCCTCTCTATCCTCGCAGTGCTGTGTGTGTGTGTCTTGTTCTTGGCCTTTTTGCCTGGTTTACTTTCCCTCGACTGCCCGCAGGATTTTTTTTTTTTTTTGGCAGCCCAAACAATGTGCAAGACTCCAATAAATAAGCACAGAGCGTCTTGGACATTGGACAACGGGCAGGTCGGGAAATGCTGCTGTTTGTTTGCTTGAAAATGGTTTTAATTGTTGTTGAATTTTGTGTTTTTTTTTTGTTTTGTTGTTGCGCGTAGCTCCCATATTGGGTCTCGCACATTGTTGACCAAATATAATAAGATAGCTGAATGGTTGACTGCCTGGCTGTGTGTTTGTTTTGGTTTTTGGCTAAAAGTAAATTAAGTGCCAATGTTAATGGCAGTTATGGCCGGCATCTGGATCAGGATCTTTGCAGACAACAAAGCAGAGGCCATTTGGGTGTCTTAATGCTGCAGTAATAATAGCTAAAAGTGTGTATAGAGCCGAAGATAAAGTAGCACAAGATTTATTAGCTACTTCTGTGTGGGATAGCCTGGCTAATGTATAAACCTCAAATGGTATTTGTTATTTAAAATACATTACGAACTATAGCGTATATAGAAATTAATTGATTAGCTGATTTGCAATGCAATCAAAAGCAAGTCTCCCCAGCTTTCAAAAGAACGCTGCAAAGCAGCTATAATTGGGCAAGCATCCCCAGACAATTCGATTAAAGTTAAGCTGCGCTACAAGCCCAACCAGTGAGTGGCTTGTGGTTCCCATGTTTCCCAAGCCCAGCCAGCCACAAATAATATAACAATTTAAATAACAAGCATGGAGCAGGCAAACACCAAACGCGTTAGTTAGATAGATTGATCTACATGTACACGACAACAACGTGGCCAAGTGGCTCTCTGGCCCTGACTCCAGGCTCCTTGTTGCCAGCTTGCCAGCACTGTATGCGGTGTGTATGCTTGTGTCTACTCTGCGCCCAGTCCTGTATAGCCGGGCAGCCGAGCAGACGAGCAACCGGGCAGACAGTGCTGGGCTGCTGGTTAGCTTGGAATAAGGCAGCCAGGCCAAGAGCATGTCAAAACAAAATAACATCTTTAGCGCGCAAACATGACAAAACATCAGAATTCCAGCAGATTAACGTCAATTTTAATTGCATTCACTTAGCCAAGGCAGCCGAGGCTCAGTTGTCTATGAGAGCCTTAGAATAGAGCCACACAGCTGAAAATATGCATAGCTACAGAGGAAAAACAAAAAAGGTGGAAAATTCTGTGACAATGTTTACTTACTTTTCACACTCTACACTTAATTGATGGAAATTGTTGAAAAAAAAAAAAAATTATATATGATAAATCATAGATAAAACAAATAAAATAAATAAAATTTTACTGAAGTCTAACTATATATGAAATTTATCTAAACAAACTTATTTTGATGTTAAGAAATATTAAAAAATAATAAAAAATTTTGATTCAAATTAGTTTTAAATTGATGACAAATAAATCCAACTTTATAAAAACATAAAATTAAAATAACTTACTTCTGCAAAACAAAAAAATATTTATTAATTGTTAACAAAAAATTAATATATATATATAAACTATTTACTTAAAAATAAAATTAGTATTGAATATGAGACGAGAAAACAATATTCTTATTAAATATATTTTCTCTTATATCCAGCAAAAATTAGCTTATATAGTAAGCACATTTGCTTGCATATACTATAATCAACAAGAAACTGATCTCAATTTGCAACAAAAATTATAAATAAATATATATGTAAAAAAATAAATATATCAGCTCAGCTTTAATATCCCCACAGCTCGCTTTATCTTTGCAAATTATGCAGGTGTTATTCTAAGCAAGTCAGGCTTAACCACAAAGTGATTATACCTCTTGCAAGTGAATTAAAAAAAAAAGAGATACAAAATCCATACAACAAAAGGGCTTAAAGTCTGCCTGGCACCAAACAGCTTAGCCAGCAGCAGCAGCAACAGCAGCAGCAAGGCAAACAGAGAGTTCCACAAGGTTGTGATTAACATGCGATAAAAAATGAGGCAGGCAGCGTTCTGGCCAACTGGCAACTGGCACCATACCAGGCCAGACAGAGTCCGACTGGACCCGAACATGAAACTGGACGCTGTCTGCCCGCTGTTCACCGCTGGCTGCTTGGCTGCTTGGCTGCTGGGTCGGGAGCTGGAGCTGCTTGGTCAGTTGGCTTACGTGTTTGCATTAGCAGAAGTGCAACTGCAAGTGCGGGACCCTCGACTTGGCTGGCAACACTCGACAGCAGCGCACAAAAGTTAAGTGTCTGGCTGTCACATGCGATTTGCACCTGCCGGATGAGCAATGGGCCAGTCGCGAGCTGGCCCGGCTCACGGCTCACGGCTCTTTTGCGTGGATTATTTATCATCTGCGCCACATCAGAGCGAGAGGCTAAGTTACGTTTAAGTTAAGCAGACTAACAACAGTGCATGCAAAGGCTCAGATCCACGCTTGCCAGATTCCTTTCGTGGACTATAATCAGGGCCAGGGAATGCGCACAAACATTTGCACAGCCACAACCACAGCCACAGCCTCATCGCAGCGCAGCTCAAATTTTATGTTCATAAATTTTAATATTTTAATTTTGAGGCAGACCGATGAACACATAAAACGAGCCATTAACTGACCGGAATGGGCATTCCTAGTGAGACTTTGTAAACATAAAGCCAACTGCAATTTCTTGCTAAACTCTGTTCCAGTTTTAGCTCTTGTTGCTGAACACCATGAAGCTTGTTGTTGTTGCTTTAGTTGCAGCAACGGGTCTTACATTTCCTGTGAATTCTCTGCTTTGATTTTAGGAAAATTAACAACAGCTCAAACAACCAACCAACCAGTCGAGTCAACATTACGGCCCAAACGAATCAGCGTCATCATCAACTGCAGCAGTAATCCAAACAGCGATAACTTGAGAATTAAAGCGGATTAGAACGAATATTAAATGCGCTTTGCCTTGCAATTTAGAATTTCAATAAAAAGAAAAGGAATGTTAATGTTTTGATATATATGAAGAGTAAATTGTTAAACTAGAGATGGAGAGTAGAGCTTCAACTTAGCCAGAAGCTACTTATCGGAAGCGTGATTAGATATGATAGGCTTTGTTTATGCTTATAATTAAGTGATTCTATAGCAAAATATATGATTTATTTACTAATCATATGTACACTTAAGCCTCCATCCAGACCAATGCTCAATGCACTTGCTTGAAATTTAAACTAGATTCGCTCTATTAAGATATCCATCAAGAATAGCAACAAGCTTTGCACAAGTCGTTGCTAGCCTATCTGTGCATTGTTAGGGTATTTGAAACGGCGTGCAGTCATTCGTATTGCAGCATGGCATGTTGTTTGCTTGGCTGGTTCCATTTGCCCCTCGGCTTCTCGAGCTTCTTGGCTCTGGCTGTGTGCCCCTGCCTTGACAACGAGACCCCAATGATGCCACTGCCATGGTACGCTGGCTCGGCTTGGCTTTGGCTTTGGCTACGCTTGTTTGGCTTAGCTTGGCCGCAACGGCTAAACAGGTTAAAATGTCGTTCAAAATGTCAAGTCAACACTTTGATGTTGTCCGTGTGCGCTGCAGTCGAACGAGCAGCTAAAAACCGCTGCCAAACGTCGCTCTACAACTTCAGCTGAAAAGCTGTAGCTGCAGTTGCAGCTGAACCCACTGAAGCCACTGTTTGCGTGTGATCTGCGCTTTATTTATGCAACATTCAGCACACGACGAAACATGCAACATTGCCGAAATTGTTAAGTGCAGACGTCGTGCTGTCTATGTAGATGTCCATGTCGATGTCGACGTCGATGTTGGATGTTGGATGTAGATGTGGATGCGGGAATGTAAATGTGTTTGTGTTGGCACTGTCATTGTCCAATGCCTTGTTGTTGTTGTTCTAAGCTCGAGTCGGTAATTGCGCAAATGCAACAGTAGCGGCACATGTGAAAATGAGGTCGACAATTAGAAAGGGTTTCGATTGCTGTGAAAGCAAGCTCTGAAAACTGTTTGCAGAAAGAAAAATCTCAAAAAAAAAACCAAATTAAATATTTGCATCATTAAAATATCAAAAAGAAAATAAATAAAATTTTGTTTTCCTCTGCAAACTCTTATCAAATAGTGAGAAAATTTCACGAATTCTATACCCAAATTCCCAAAAAAATATTTACTTTTAATAAAAAATATTTTAAATTTTTTTGTTTAATTCACGTTTTGCTCTTGATTTTCGTTTTTTTTTTTTGTCTGGTATTTTTTTCTTTTGTAAATATACAGAAGAACCCTAAGCTATTTCATAAAACACTGAACTCAAATACAGTTTATATGTTCTTTGAAATATAAAAGCTAGACTTAACACTAAGAATACTTGAATATTTAATGACCGCACAAACATATCAAATGAAGTTTTCTATTGCACTTGGGGCTAATAATTTCGATTCTTGCCCGTTGCCGACAATGGGTGGTCGACTATATTGCGTACCACATATGTCGGACGCAATATGATGAAGCTAACAATCAGATCATCGTTGACAACCATCACGGCGCCAGCATTGTCAAACATGCCGCAGTAGTTCGGCGCCGAGAAGATAGTGACAAGTTGGCGGCGTGCGAAAAACTCGTAGCCATCCTCGACAACCTGATGGGCGCGACATATAACATCGACGCCCATGCGAAAGCAAAAGTGGCGTACGACATCAGCACCAAAGGTGACGCTAACGCCACGATCATTGCCGCTCCAGCCCATCACCGAATCATCGGGATCACTCCACAGCAGATCACAGACCAGACCTTGCTCAGGTATATCGCAGGGTCGCCTCACAGCTAATATGTCCTCGAAAGACTTCAGGCTGGGACTCAGGCCACCATGGACACAAAATATACGGTTACCCACCAATGCTGCCAGAGGCATGCAATCGTAGGTGTCCACAAAATGACGCCACAACTTCACCGAATAGCGACGCTTGCACTCATCATAGAAGCCATAAATGCGATTGATGCTGGCACACTCATGGTTGCCACGTAGCAGCCACATCAAATGTGGATAGCGCACCTTATAGGCCAGCAGCAGCGTGAACGTCTCAATGGAGAGCTTGCCACGGTCCACGTAATCACCCAGAAACAAATATCTTGTTTCCGGCGGATAGCCTCCAGAGTGCAGAATTCGCAACAAATCATTAAACTGGCCGTGAACATCGCCGCAGATCTTTACCGGTGGCTTAATCTCCAATAGAGTTCGCTCCCTCAGAAATATTGGCCTCGCCTCCGTGCAAACGAAACGTATGTAAGTCTCGGGCAGATTAACGCCCCGTGAAGGATTTTCACAATTTACAATATCCCTGATTATTCTATTGATATCCATCTGTTGCGGTGTCACATTATGACTAGTTCTTGAGTGCCGATGGGAGGCAACGGAGCCAGTGGGTCGTTTTGCCATATTTCAGAACAAATTCAGAATTTAGTTTCGACAAAAAATACATTAACTACTGATTTTATTAAAAAAATACATATATACAACAGATATATGCGTAAAATATATATTTGTAAACATTCTTTGAAATAATTTTATATTTTAAATATATTTTTAATAATTCTTTGTAATGAAATATATTTATAATATAAATATTTTACTTTTTTTATTAAATATATTTCAAATATTTTTTAAATAAACCATAATATACTGAAAATATATTTTAAGAAATATTTAATGCATAACATATTTAGAATAAATAATATAATAATTCAGCCGTTAATTGTGCAATTTGCTTGATGAAATCGGAATTTAATTGTTTCTAGTTTTAAATGTGAAAATTTCGACTTTATAATTAAGTAAATACCAATCTAAAATTTCAGTTTAGGCAATTATGTAGAGGTTAGATATTTTTTAATTTTAATTTTAGCACCCCAATTTGTTCGCAAATAATTATAAAAACATATCTATACAGAAAATGTATTTAGTATTTAGTATAAATCATTACATAGTCTACTTAAATAAATTCAATATATAGTTTTCAACGCCCCAACTTGGGCGCCTAATTTAAAGACGCGCCTGTTTAGTGTACGGCGTCTCTAGACTGTCAAAATGTTGTCCAAAAGGCTGAGGCCGGAGCTGAACTAAAGTTGTTGCAATTCTGAGAATATTTTACGCTTGTTGAAGTTGACGACAACGTGGAAGCCACCGCCAACGATGTTGATGTCGATGCTGGCTGCAAACCTGAAGCTTGTTATGGTGTGCATGACAGAAAGAGAGAGGCAGAGAAAGAGGGAGAGAGAGGTAGCGACCTCAGTGCTAGGGATTCGTGTTTTGTTTTCTTTGCACTTCAGTTGTATCACATCAATGGCCATTGTGTACGTCAACTTTGATGTTTCGGCAAAAGTTGTGAAGTGTGAGGTTTTAGACGTTCTTATTGCACTTTGCCGCAACCAGCTGCGAGCTGGCTATCGCTGTACAGAGTCCAAGAGTCCGAAACTACCGCCTTGACAGGTGAAGAATGCCAAAAAAGAGAAAAAAATGATTCAAGTGGCTCTGTTGCCCGGCTCGCTATGGACCGACCTGCCGTGTTGGCCACTTCAAAATCAACTCAAGCCTTTTAGACGGAAAGCGCAACCAAAAGCAGCAACAATAACTGAGGGCTGGAAAAATCGACACAAGGCAGGAGTCAAAGTCGAGTCGAGTCTGTTGCTTGATTTTGTATTTATTTTGTTTACACGTTTCCTTTGAATTTTCTGTTCTAATTGAGTGAGAAGTGCGATGAGCTTGCAGTTTTCCATCACACATCCAGAGAGCTCCATCATCATCATCATCATCATCATCGCCATCATCATCAGCATTATTATCAACATCATCTGTTGCTACGTTTTACGCGGTTTTAATTGGATTTTCATACCTGTCTAGCGATATTTGATTGGTGTTTGTATAATGAACTTGCAATATTCTCCAGTCCATGCCCAAGCCCAGCCCCGATCCAGATCGCAGTCGAACAGCTGCTCTTGTTATTATTATTGTTCGACTCGTAGAGCCCGTGAAATTTAACACACATCATCGCGTTCGCTCTTCAAACTCCAAACTGCTCTTCCTTCGCCCCTTTCTCTGCCGCAACGCTAAGAAAATAAAAGTTCTACAACGCGCGTATTATTGGTTGATTGTACGTGACTTTGTTTATTTAATTTATGTTATTATTGCCTGATTAAGTATGGCCGGGCCACAAATAAAAAGGGTTTATGTTATTTCATTAAAAATTGATTAGTGTTAAGGTACACAAAATTGCTGAGCTAAATAACAATGTAATTACGTAGAGTCCGGCCCAGTGTGGACCACGCGCAACAAAAGAAAGTTCAGCTCGAAAGGAGCTGCTGACTGGCTATTACAGGGTATTGTTATGTCAGCAGCAGGAAATGTGAGTGTACAAAAAAATAAAAAATAGGCAAGAGGAAATGTAATTTGTGAGTTCTCTTAAATTAAGCAACGAATCTATTGAGTAGTCGATTTATATTTAAAGCTGTTTGTTTTTTTTTTTATAAATACCAAGGCATGAGAGTAACCACGAATACTTTAAATATTCTATATTTTAAATTATATTGAAATATAGGCAATATTGAGAAGGAGTCATAAAATACTCATACGCTTAAGCTGAAGCAAGTCAAGTCAAGTCAACTCGATCTTGGCCAGTTGTACTGTCTCTCCTTCAAGCTAGAGATCTAAATATTTGTGTATATTTAGATATGAGCTTAAATATATTTAAACAGCAGCTCGACTCTCAGTCAAGCCACTGGCAACTAGAGCTCAATTACTTATTTTAAATCAGATTTTCGTTTCCAAAAAGAACCACAAAGAAAAAGTTGTAAAACACATTTTACGTCTAATTAACAAGTCAGCAAAAGTTGTGGGAAGCCAACAATATATACCTATATATACTTACATAGACATCGACACATACGCGCTGCTGTCTTTCTGCGCCATCTAATTGCAGTAAAAAATAGTTAAACAAAATAAACATACACAAAGTAATAAACACGCCTGCCTCTTGGCCATTTTATGGGCTGAAAATAAAGCAAACAGAATGAAAATTCATCATATCTGGAGCATGGAGCACTCCTAATGAGCAGTGAGCAGTAAGCAGCTCGACCAAGGAACTGCAATGCGCTTTTTAATGGTCCCATAAAAATGTGCCAAGTGGGTAGGCAGCGGCGCGCTGTTTATGATCAAAACAAAAAGAACAAGAAGAAGAAAAAGACAGAAAGACGACAGAAAGTAAAAAATGGTAAATTAAATGGCTGCAATAATTAAAACACCTGTTTTAATTAGATAGAAATGCATGTACACGGGTTTTCGGTGTATGCGTGAGCGGGAGCCAGGCAGGGCAGGGAGAGGAAGACGATTCTCCATGTGAACTCGGGCAGCGGCATGTGAAGAAAATATGTTGAAAGTTCCTTTGGGTGTTAAACTGCAGACACAATTAATGGATTGTCGGCGGCATCAAAGTTCTGAGCGCTACAACTTCATCATAGCTGACTGGGCTAGCGGCTGTCGGCAGCTGCAGCGCTCGCTCCGAACTGAGCTGTTTAGCTGGAAAAGTTGGCAAAGCGTTTAACGATTTACCGCTAGTTGAGTTTGTTCAACGTTTTTTTCCTGCATTGTGGGCTGCAGCCTTTGACTGCGACCACAAATATGCCAAAACATGATCATCAGCATTTGTCATTTGAATGTCTTGAGAAGCCCTAATCCTTTGGGCTTGGGTCCGCCTCTTGCTTACCTGTCAAACTCTAACAATGAGCATTGCATTCCTACTTTTTTTTTGTTGAGTTGTCTGCTGGCTTCTGCTTCTACTTCAAATGAAGTGCATTCATCCGGTGGCAATCCTTTTTTTTTCACTTGAATTTCCGTTGACATCCTGCAGACGAATGGTGCTTCTCCTCTTGTTGTTGCTAAGGAGCGTCACTGACATATCCTTTAAGCATGATTAAAAACGTAAAGTAAATGAAAATTGTTTTGTGCTTACGCCTCTTAGCACACCTTGAAAACAACAACAGCCACAACAGCAACAACAACAAAGGATCTCCTTTCTATACAACTGCACTGAACTTGAGCTGGAAATGGGAGAACCGAGAGAGAGAGAGAGAGAGCGAGAGAAGTCTCAACAGGAGTTGCTGGAACAATAGACAACGGTCTTCCTGTAGGCTCTCTACTCCTCTCCATATGCACTTAAAATCCTACAGATTTTCCCACTTAGTGATAAAGTTGCCGTTGAATGGCCCGACAGTTGCCTATTGTCTAGGACGCCGACTTCCAGTTGGCTCCGCCTACCAAATAAGCCAAAGATGGGGCGCGGCTAGGCGGAGGCAGATAGGAGGCAGGGGAGAGCGCCTTGCGATTTCATGCTTAAATGGAGTCGTTAAATTATTTTCTGAAATTGAGTCGAGCGCTTGTTGTGCCATGTGTGTGTGTGTGTGTGGCATTGGCATTGGCAGTGGCATTGGAGCTCCACTTTACTTAGAAGCCGGCACGTCGAGCTGTAAACGGAAGTACTTACATCCCACTCCCTGGCACAAAGTCACTCGCAGGCATTAAATTAAAATATGTATGTTGCGTACATTTTTTTTCTGTCGGTCGCTTCTTTAATTAAAACCAAAATGTTATTGTCTGCATTTGGAATTTGTCGTGCGTGTGGCACGAGGCGTTTAAATGCATTTTGTATGTGATTTCACGGTTTTATAGCTGACACTTTCTTTGCTAGAGCTAATGGCCCACATGAAGTACGAAACATGAACTTGACATTGGCTACGAATTCGTGGTGGTCTTTTCTTTGATATTTGAAACCACTTTGAAGTGCTGTAAGCATAGGAAAAAGTACATTTTATTCAACTTTAATCAAATTTAACTTTTAAAGAAACTTAAACTACAATCGATCTTCGGCTAACAAAAGTATAAAGTATAGTAAAAAGTAAAGAGTATAAAATCGATACAAAAATTGCATTTACATTTATTCTCATCTTTAGTTAAATGAGTTCTCAGACCAACAGAACTTTTTGTCGTCTTGTTGCCTCTCCGCTCGTAGCTCAAGCCCAATTCTCAATCCTTTCTCTGCGCCCAACTGGGTCACATTTTTTGCATTACGACACGATACTTCAATTTTCTTTAACAACGCTTTCAACTTTAAGCTCCGCATGGACCAGCACAAAATACTAAAAGAATGAACAAGAATATGGAACAAGGTCAGTTGTTAGCCAGACAAGAGCAGAACCAGCAGCAGCACAACAGACCGCAGCGGAACGGGCCCAAACGCCCAATATGGCCAATATATCACATGACGCCTACAATTTAAGCTGCCGGCAAAAAAATGAAATGCAAACAGGGCGTACGAAGAGAAATGACAAACATTTATATAAATAACACCATCGACTCCAATTAAAGCAGCTTTTGTTGATCTCGTAGCCCGTTCGGTGGTTGCGCTGCTCCGTTTGCTGGTGTCTGATAAAAACCGCAAAGCGAAATGTTTGTG